CAATTAAAAACAGCAGATAAATATAAAAACAACCACAATTGTAAACAACATCCAAACAATCTGGCTGAGAAAAGGACCAGAGCTGAGGTTCAGGCTGAGTGAGTGCAAGGCACCCTGAAGGGAACCCAAGGAGAGCGCAATGGTCAAGGGGACAGGGCTGGCCAGAGGGTCCTCAAGAGTGCCGAGTGGACGATAAGAGGCCGAAGGTCAAGTGCAGAACTTAAGGTAGGGACGGGGAAAGTTACAGGTGGGATGCTTAACCCAAAGCACACGGGAACTTCCCCTTGGAGTCTTCTTCCTATTGTTGAGGTGGGACCCCTGCTCCTGCCCTTCTGAATGCATGGCTCCATTGAGGGTCTCCAGCCTCCTCCTCCTTCAAGGTAGCTCAGCCTGGCTCCTGTTTCCCCTTCTCTCAGCCAAGACCCCCCCCCCCCCCAGATCCTTCAAGCTATCCCTTGGGGGGGGGGGGAGCCTTGCCTTTGACCATTTGACAACCCTCCTCCTCCTTGAAGGGCGTTGCCCTAAGCTGGCCAGACGGGGCGGGGCTTCCAGGTGAGCAGCTCCGACCAAAGCAGGTGAGAGTGGGTCTGGACACGGGGCTCCTCTGGGCGCCGCCTCGCCTCGCCTCGCCTCGCCTCGCCTCGCGGGGGGTTCCCTCGCTTCCGTATCGCCCTGCCACGCGCAGAGAGACCCCCCCCCCTCCCTCCCTCGCCTGCCAATGCCTTTCCCTCCTTTTCTTTTGGGGCTCCTGGGCGTGGGGAGGGAGGGAGGTGGGGGGACCCCAAAGGACATGTAGCCCAGGCTCCTTCTGCCAGGCTGGAAGCCCCCGACCCGGCAGGCGCCCACCTAGTTGCAAAACTTCCCCAAGACACACGCGGACCCTCCCCCCAACAGGGCACCCCCCAAGTATGTGAGGGTGGCTCCCCCGCGTGACCCTCCCGCCCCGCCTGTGACCTGCCTGGGCTTTGGGGGGGGGGAGTCGGAGGGGGGGGTGCACTCACCGTCTTGGGGTGGAAGCGGGGCTCGTGGGTGTGGGTGTGGGTGCGAGTCCGGCCCGGCCTGGGTCTCGGGTTCTGTTCGGGGCGCCTTCCTTCTCTCCTCCCGGTATTTAAACTCCCCAAAGCAGCGAATCAGCAAAAGGGAAGAGCAGAGAGGGAAGGGGGAGGGCGGGGCCCAAGGGGAGGGGGGGAGGGGAGGGGGCTACCAGGAACATTCCTCAAGTCTCACTCCGGCCAGATGGAGATACACACACGCACACGCACACACACCAGGCATGGGCAAACTCGGACCCTCCCTCCCTCCCTCCAGGTGTTTTGGACTGCAACTCCCACCATTCCTCGCAGCCTACTGGTTTTTAGGAATGGTGGGAGTTGAAGTCCAAAACACCTGGAAGGCCCAAGTTGGCCCAGGCCTGGCATACCCTCTCCAAAGCTATCTTTCCCGATAATACTTTTTATTATTATACCTTAAAATAAAAACAGAAACATAGGATATTTTTGACCCACATGTTCAAATGCTAATGAAGGTGGTCAGTTGAAACCTTCACCCCTAGCTCCAGCAGAGAAGAGCTCTTTGCCCACCCCAGCCATTCCACAGATATATAAACCCATTGTCCTAATTCCAACAGACCTCACTACCTCTGAGGATGCTTGCCATAGATGCAGGCGAAACGTCAGGAGAAATGCCTCTAGAACATGGCCCTATAGCCCGAAAAAACCTCCAAGAACCTAGTGATTCTTGCCATAGATGCAGGCGAAACGTCAGGAGAGAATGCCTCTAGGCCATGGCCATAGAGCCCGAGAAAACCCACAAGAACCTAGTGATTCCAGCCATGAAAGCCTTCGACAATACATTGAACATAGGATATTATTCATTTACACACAGAGACACCAAAAAAAGGTTAAACTAAATATTGGGGAGGGGGTGGTGGAGCTCCAGGAAGGAGGGGGGAGGCTGAGATGAAGAGGAAGGGGCTTAGGGAGAGAGAAGAAATACGTGAGTGTGTGTGTTGTAGTTCTTACGTCCGTCATTTCCACACAAGTATAATGTTGTTGTTAGGTGATCCCTCGTAGTCCGAGGAGGATGGTCCTCCAAGTTCGGTGGTTCTGGTGGTGGGTCTGTAGGTGACTGTGGAGCCCTCTTCTTGACCTGCATCTTCTCCCTTCTGCAGTGAGGGCATTGGTTTCCAGGTGGAAGGCAGTCCCAGTCAGGGTTGACTTGACGCGCCTTCCTCCTGGCACGTTTCTCTCTTTCGCCCTCCACTCGTGCCTCCTCGAATTCTGCAGCACTGCTGGTCACAGCTGACCTCCAGCTGGAGCGCTCAAGGGCCAGGGCTTCCCAGTTCTCAGTGTCTATGCCAGAGTTTTAAGGTTGGCTTTGAGCCCATCTTTCAATCTCTTTTCCTGTCCATCAACATTCCATTTTCCATTCTTGAGTTCGGAGTAGAGCAACTGCTTTGGGAGATGGTGGTCAGGCATCTGGACAATGTGGCCAGTCCAGCGGAGTTGATGGCGGAGGACCATCGCTTCAGTGCTGGTGGTCTTTGCTTCTTCCAGCACGCTGACGTTTTTCCCCCTTTCTTCCCAAGAGATTTGCAGGATTTTCTGGAGGCAGCGCTGATGGAATCGTTCCAGGAGTTGTATGTGACGCCTGTAGACATTCCACGTTTCGCACGCGTAGAGCAGGGTTGGGAGGACAATAGCTTTATAGACAAGCACCTTGGTATCCCTACAGATGTCCCGGTCCTCAAACACTCTCTGCTTCATTCGGAAAAATGCTGCACTCGCAGAGCTCAGGCGGTGTTGTATTTCGGTGTCGATGTTGACTTTGGTGGAGAGGTGGCTGCCAAGGTAGCGGAAATGATCAACATTTTCTAATGTTACACCATTAAGCTGTATCTCTGGCATTGGAGAGGGGTTGGCTGGTGTCTGCTGGAACAGCACCTTGGTTTTTTCAATGTTCAATGACAAGCCGAGCTTCTCGTATACTTCTGCAAAGGTGTTTGTCTGCCTGTCTTCCCAAGAGATTTGCAGTATTTTCCGGAGGCAGCGCTGATGGAATCGTTCCAGGAGTTGCATGTGATGTCTGTAGACAGTCCACGTCTCACAGGCATATAGCGGAGTTAGGAGGACAATGGCTTTATCAGCAAGCCCCTTGGTCTCCCTACGAATGTCCCAGTCCTCAAATGAAAATATTGCACAAGATTATCTGCAGGCTCTGCACAGAAAAGTGTACCTGGCATAGGTACACTTTGGGATCGGACAATGAACGGCAGCCAATGGAGCTCCTTAAACAGGAGGGTTGACCACTCCCTGCAAGTCATCCCAGTTAGTAACCTGGCTGCCGCCCGTTGTACCAATTGAAATTCCCAGGCCATTTTCAAGGGCAGCCCCACGTAGAGTGCATTACAGTAGTCCAATCTGGAGGTGACTAAGGCATGGACCACCCTGGCCAGATCCGCCTTCACGAGGTATGGTTGTAGTTGGCGCATGAGTCTCAATTGTGCAAAGGCCCTCCCGGCCACCACCGACGCCTGAGCATCAAGTGTAAGGGATAAGTCCAGGAGGACACCCAGACTACGGACCTGTGGCTTCAGGGGGAGTGTAACCCCGTCCAACACAGGTTGCCACCCTATAACCCGATCCACTTTATGATCGACCAGGAGGACCTCTGTCTTGTCAGGATTGATCTTCAGCTTGTACCTCCTCATCCAGACAGCCACAGCGGCCAGGGATGCCATCGCTCAGGTGTAAGCGCCCTGTTTGTCTGTCTGTTTCCCTTTTACCTTCCTTTGTCTTTTCCAGCATGAGACCCAAGGTGACTTACAACCATTAAAAACCACCTTATTGGCTGATATTTGCAGTCACATTAACGTCAACTTTTGGTGACCCTCTGAATGGGAAATTTCCCCAATTCCTGGCTTTACTCTCACTTCAAGGAACACCTCTCTCTCTCTCTCTCTCTCTCTTCCTGATTCCTCAGACTTTTCCAGCCTTTTCCTCCTTTCCCGTGAATCATGCCATGATGTCAGTGAGAAGGTCAGGAAAGCTAACGTGCAGAATAAGCTCCGGGCTGAGAGGGAAGCGAAACAATGCAAAGGGGCTTTTGGTTGTGGTTGTGATGTCTGCAGCCAAAACAAAGTCAAGGATATGACACAGACGGGAATGGAGAACATGATGACGTGCAAACAGGGGGAGAACAAGCAGAATTGCTCAACGCTTTCTTTGCCCCGGTCTTCTCTCAAAAGGAAAATGGTGCCTATTTGAAGGAAATGGACAAGGCTGGTGCAGGGGGTGGGGGTGGGAAACGCAGCACAGGAGGGGTCAAGAGGCAGCACGGTAGTGGATTCCCGCCCCCAACTACATCCAAGGGCATGAAAAGAACAGGCAGAAGTCATTTCCAAACCACTGGCCTTCTTCTTTGAGAATTCCTGGAGAAAAGGAGAAGTTCCAGAAGGTTAAGAAGGCAAGTTTGGTCCCCGTCTTTGAAAAGGGAGAAAAGAAGACCCAAGATTTGTAGATGGGAACCTCTCGTCCCTTCTGAGTCTCCTGATACAAAAACACAGATCCTAAGCACACCTGAGAAGCGTGGGCTCAGAGACCCAAAGCGCCGGAAGGGACCTCCAAGGGCCATCCAGCCCAACCCCCTTTCGTGCCCTTTTCTCCTTGAACCCACAACCCAGCTGCCAGGCTCTGGCCATCTTCCACAACAAGGAGAGGGACTCTGAGCATGGGCCGAGTGGCTCTGCGGCCTCCCTTTGGGATCCCTTCGCCTCTCCAGCTGTCCAGTGGTCCAACCAACTCTGTGCCTGGTGTCAGGCTTTGGGGGGATTTATTTATTTACTTATTTACAGCTTTTATATTCCGCCCTTCTCACCCTGCAGGGGACTCAGGGTGGATTACAGTGTACACATATATGGCAAACATTCAATGCCAATTTTTGACATACCAACATATACAGACATACACAGAGGCTATTTAACTTCGCTTTCATCGTCCATCTGCGACGCTGATGAAGCACTTCCGCATTCCCCGCATGCTTCCCCGCTGGAATGCTTTTGCTGGAGTCTTCTTTATGGCCTCATAAATCAGTTAATTTAGCCTCCCCACACTTTAAGGTGGTACCTAATTTTCCTACTTGACAGATGCAACTGTCTTTCGGGTTGCAAAGGTCGACAACAGGCTACACACAATTGGTTGGAAACCCACTCCAACCCGGGCTGGCTTCGAACTCATGACCTTTTGGTCAGAGTGATCTTAATGCAGCTGACACTCAGCCAGCTGCGCCACAATCCCACCACAATTTCAAGATTGTGCCTCAGAAAGCCAGACACATCCCTTGTTTTGGCATTCCCCAATTGCCGGTCTGTTCATATTTCTGTTGGGGAAAAGGGCAACTCCAAATTCCATTTGGCATGAAGGGATTCCGGCTCCACGGCCTCCGTCTTATCACTTGTCTCATCAGGAGCATGAATCCATGGATCCATGGCATCAGTGTTGGCACAACAGTCCAAGGAGTGATCTCTTTTGGGGACCAGCATCTGGATCAAAGGGTCCTGCGGAGGCGGCACAAATAGCAAGACATGGGCAGGCGGCTGCATTGGCATTCATTCTTGTCACTGCCATTCAAGAGCCCAATTACAAGATTTTAGCCACGCTTTGCCAGACATGGCTCCAGTCTGTGGGATCCTGGGATTTGTAGTTAGGGTACGCACTAGATCTCTCGGCCTGAGAAATTTCGTACCCCTCCTGAAACTTCAAATCCCATGTTGTGTCTATATGTCAATTACGTCATATGGACACAACATGGGATTTGCAGTTTCAGGAAGGGCCAAATGCACTAAAAGTATTAGTGCGCTGCAGGATGGGCCCATGGTAGTTAGCGTGACCAAAAAGGAGAGGGGGGTTCTCATTGGCATTTCAAGCTCTGGGTTTGACCCGATCGCCCTCTTCCCCTTGGAGTTTGGCCCCTGCCCTGACCCTCCACCTCTTCCATAGGTTCAAACGACAGGGAAGGTGATTCCACCTGAACACGAGGAAGAACTGTTCAGCAGTGGAATTCACTG